TGTGCCCAATTGTGGAGGTCCTTCTAATAAGATTATGCCTTTTCTATTTCTGTGAGTTGTTTTTTGGATTGGGGTTTGGGGTTTTTTTTGGTGGTTCAAGGGTATCAAAAGCAAAAACCTAGGCCAGAAAAAAAATTATCTAAGGGAAAAACAAGACCTAGAAACAGCTAAAAAGGTTTGAAGTGTCTTTTTATTTATTTAGATCTTTTACAGTATGTGTGGGTCACATTTTCCTGCAGTTCTCTAATACTAAGGAGGCTTAGAATTATGGTTTATGAATTTTAATGAATGTTGAGATTATTATGTAATCATTTGCTGGGACTTTAATTAAATCACCAAATAGGAGAAGAACTGCATTTAGGGAGGTGAGAGCTGAAGATGCTAATTTTTAAATGTCTTTGTTCTACTTTGGCATGGGTATCTCAGATACCGAATGCAGACAGTCCCTTATACCACTCCTTACTCCTTTGCAGGTATCATTGCATCAGTGAAGATCTGGTTTACATTTAAAATTTAGTTTTACAGCCATGAGGCCTAGAGTCTTCATAGTGTGTATAGGAAAAGCCTGAGCTTCAGAGCATAGGCTATCCACCACCTTACATGTTCAGAGCGAGCTAGCCCCCTTTCACTTCTCTCTTTCTCTCTGTGACTGTGATTTTGGTGTTAGGGTCTTCATTCCTGCCTCCTCTTCCGTTCACAGTCCTTGCACTCAGCAGGGCTGGGGGAGGCTGTTTTCCCTGGAAACCTGTTAGCCAATTAGTAGGGCAGAGCGAGCCAGTTGGCTCTAGCGAAGCCCCTGTTTTTGTGCATTCTTGATCATACAAGAGTTGTTCTTGTTGCTGAAAGCTGCCTTCATCTTTAAGTGTTAAAACTGTCAGGGCTGGGTTTCCGGGACAGTTTTAGATGAAATATAGATACTTTCCTTCTGAAAGAGACTGCATGCATATAAGCCGTGGGGGAGTTTGATTTGGGTTTTATCCCTCCCTTTTTGCTGCTGGTACGTTCAGCCTCAACAGCCGGGTCAGTAAGAAGGATAAAGAAAAGTAATTGGTTGCTGTGAAGCCGTTTGCCATCACTCTGGTCTCTGAAATCGATTCACAGTAATTTTTAGAGGAGGTGGTAGGATCTGGAACAAAGCTTTCTGTTAGTGCTAAACATAAATCCCTCTGCTTCCAAATGCATTTTTGTGTCTGTATCTGTTTTCATGCATGCGGCAATTAAACAGTATATCTTTTTCTTTTTTTCTGATTTCAGAAGGTTGACTCAGACTCAAGTGGATTTATGCACACTCTATGTTTCTGAGTGTTTGTGGTTGTTTTGTTTTGTTTTTAAATACTGTTTTCTTCATCTTCTAATTTCTATAAAGCTTGTGGAAATTGATTTCCAAGTAGCCCAATAGGTCAGGCATACTTGCATTCCTCCCTTTCTGCATATTGTACTCCCGCACTTACTGTTTGTCCATGCAAAGAAAATCTTTCCCAGGTTCAGAAGTAACCTAGCACAGCGTGGCTTGTCAAGCTAAAGGGTGTCATACCGAGGCAATCATCCCTCTGCAGGTTGTTGGCCTGACAAAGATTTTGTTACCTGTTTATTTGTTTTGTTTTGTGTCTTAAAGCTTGAGGCCCTTTTGGAACTCTGATATACTTTTTATTTCATTTTTTCCTCCTTCACTCCTTTGTTACCGTGGACTGTTGCAGATATGCCACGAACATTCTAGCATGAGGTGAAAACTGTTTTCTGGATTGTGAGGAAGAAATACACTTCAAAGCCAAGCAAGATTTGGTAGGTTATAAAAATGGGAGGAAAAGGTTGGCTTCACAGGGTCATGCATTTTACTACCATGCCTAGATTTGGCAAGGTCTCTTACCATCCTAGAACTCTTCCTTTGCTTCCTCATGCTCACCATTTTACCAGGTGATAACCACAGGGTTAACTCAGTAGAGCATCCTGGCATAGTACGTGACGTACAAAGAGAGAACAATGATGCTGAAATTCTTTTACACTAGGGGCACTAGATCTATCAGCGAAAATACAAACACAGCTGATTCCACAAAGGCACGTTTGTAGAGAAATTTAATGAAATGCAGGTTGTGTAATTTGCTATGAGGAGTTAGCAGTTTGCTCATAAAACGGTGCCAGAATAAGCAAGGGGTCACTCCACTGGTTCCAATGCGTTTATGACTGGTTGCTTCATTGGTGACTTTGGCCTCTCTTCCGTACGTGATCTCAGTAGATGCTGAGAAATGGAGTAAGGACGAGTTGTCACAGCCTTTGGACTCATTTTTCACTGCAATGTTAGCTGCTGCTGCAACATCCAGTCTGTGGAGCACCCCAGAATTGCCCACACCTGGTAGAGGAGCAGGGCCAGAGATGGGAGACCTGGGCCAAAAAGCACCTGCAAGCTGTGGAGGAAGAGGAGCAGTGGAGCAGAGCGGGGGCTGGCTGTGGGGCTGGGGAAGCACAGGAGAGCACTCCGTGGGCTGAAAAACTCTGTGTGGAGATGTGAAGTACCAGGCAGTAACTGGGGAACAGAGTGGGAAAACCGTGCCTGAAGAAGAATGAATGTTTAAGAGGACTTGATTTGGGCTTGAGAATTGGCAGTGACCACTGGTAACCACCCCTGGCACATATCAGTCTGGTTTCTTGGGACTGGTCAGACTGGGAGCATTCCTACATTTGGCGTACCTCCTCTAATGGGAATGATAATGCCAAGCTTGACTCTTAACTGCATAGCTTATTTTTGGTGGCAATAGTAAGGCAACCCTTCGTTTTTGAGTAAACTATGGATTCAGTGAGGTTAGGAGCATGAAAAACCTGGCAGTGGGGTCTGATGCTACACTTGGTTTTGAGGGTGCAGTATGCTCTGCCAAATGTCTATAGAGCCTGGAGAACCACAGTAACCATAGCCAGGCCTGTAACATTAATCCTTTTTTTCTTAACTGTGAAATAACAGGCATATTTTTTGTGCTAATTTCACTGGTAAGAAGTTGTAGGTAAAGATATCCCTTATCATGCTGGGAATCACAGGTGGTCAGGCTCATGCTAAATTAATTTTTCTTTGGCTAAATAAATGCAGAAAGCAGGCACCACTTCCCCACAAGGCATAGGGGGTGAGGAGTTAAAACTGAAGAGGTTTTCTTGGTCCAGAGTGGCAGGAGCCAGGGAGGAAGCACAGGTATGAGGGTTTTGGCAGAGGTTCTGTGAAGCGCACAACCTTTGGTAGATGCATCTCTCGGTAGCTTTTGAATGCCAGTTATTTACTGAGAGGCCAGCTTTCATAAACATCAAAGCTCAGTTTCAAACAGTAATGAGTAAACATAACACTATGGAGAAACAAACAGGGAAACCTGGCACAGCCAGTGTTTCCACCAACAGTATACGGAAAAAGGAAATAATTACAGTAAAATGAGGGGGTCGGTCGTGAGGCTGTATCGGGTAAAGAAATGGTGTGACATTTCTGATCTTTGATGCCTATCTGCATGTGCAGTTTGTCCCCAGTTATAGGGATAGGTAATCATAAGTAATAACTTAAAGAAATGAAAGGGCCCTTGGAGAAGGAAAGGATAAGTAGGAGCAGTTGATGGAGAAGATAAAGATTTCATGTGAGATGTATGTGGCTTTCCTCATTTTTCAAAGTAATTTTAATCTCTTGTCCTGGGATGAGCGTTTCAAAAGCATGTTCTGCAATAAGCATAAGTTGTAAATCTTGTTGCCTACCTCTGACCTGGTAGAAGGCATTTCCTTTGGGAAGGAACATTGAGAAAAAAAAAGCAAGAAAATGTTCATGACTGTAAGTCATTACGTGTCCCGTTAACCCTCCTATCTTTCATTCACATATTTTATATTTTCATTAAGCTATGCTCATATGAGTAAGAAAAAGCATTACCCAGAAGAGATCCCTGAGTAACTGTAAAAAAAAATAATAAAAAAGCCAGCTCCCAGGCTGGAACACACTCCGGCCGAGCATTCAGAGGCAGGGGTAGCAGCAGCAGCCGCCCTGTGTGCTGCGCGGCTCGGGCTCTGCCGGAGCCATGCCTGGGCACTCCCTGGTGCTTTCCAGGGTTTTTTAGGCAGGTGTGAGGATAGCTTTATTGCCAGCAGTTCACGTTTGTTCATAGTCTTTGGATACATAAAGCAGTAATAAAGCCTAGGGTATTCTATCTCCTCTTTTTTTGTCCCCCACCATGACACACATGGAAAGAGCTGCTGTGTGCAAATTGTGCGTTGCTTAAAGAAAGTGAGTGCGTGCCTGTGTTAGCATACAGTTATGAAAAATGATGGGATAAGTCGAATTATTTTTTCTAGACTCCGTCTGTGCCATCCAATGTCTGACCACTTGTCTCACAACACAGTCTCCTGTAGGCTTGCACAGAGGATTTGAGAGCTGAATTTGGGCTATAATTAATGTTTGCCTTCTCTTTAACTTGAGGAGCTATATGCTATCACAAATCTTAATTTCCACAAGAACGCCTCATCTCTAAACTCTCTCTTGTTGCTTTCCTCTGCAATGTAATGACCCCAACCTGTTTTCCTTTAGAGGGTGTACCTCTACTTTTTTATTACAATGAGAATAATTCAGTGGTGAGAGAGAATTAAAGCCATCACTAGCTTTCATACCTGGTATAAAATGTGCATAGCTATTTAATCAAATGTCCCCTGGTTTTGGTAATCTCGTTGTTGATATATCAGCTCTCCTTTTGCCAGATCAGTATTAAACATTTGGCTGAAGCTGAAGCTGTGGCAGTGGGAATTCTATTGGCATGAGCGGTGTTGTGATGCGGGATGTGTTTTGGCTCTGAATGTAAAGGTACAAAGTTATAGTAACATCTCCTAAGTCTTCTCACCCTTGTTATGAAGCTAAAAGCCGTGTGAAATAAATCGTAAAAGCAAACCTGTTGTTTCAAAGAAAATACGTAATGGATATAATAGTGTGAATGTTTCAATTAAAGCTAATGAGTGCAATTTCTTACTTGCCTGTGCTTTTCTTTGTTTTTCAGCTCATGGGGCACTCTGAATGGGATCACAAACGAGGACCCAGAGGCTCACAGGTCAGTCGCTCAGTATTTTGGTTTTGGCTTTTTAGAAGTTTGCGGTATTCAAGCAATTTTTCCATCTGAGATTGGCAAAATTGTTCATTTTGTTAATATTTGCAGGGTTGAATCAATGGGAAAAAAGCATAAAGCCAAAACACCTTTCATTAATATAATTTTTGAGCTGTAACCCAAACAATTGATCCAGAAGCTGAGTCGTGCAACAGAAAGTTTCTTTCAGTAAGCAGAAAGACGGATTAGATGTATTGAGAAGGCATTTATTACTCAGCTGTCTCCATCAGGATATCAAAAGAATGCAATTTCAAATAATGTGTGTATGTTTTGTGGTGGTTTTTTTTTTTAAACCTGGCAAACTTGTAAAACTTGGATGGCCGTCTCGCCTTGTTCAATAATAAAGGGATTAGTGGTGTTAGAACTCCATGGGGAGGTGCAGGAAAGCCATGTGTAGCCATGTTTGCTCCTGATACATCGCTGAAATGAAATTATGCTAGTAGTGTTAATGGCATCATGATGATACATTTTTAAATTATCTGTAGAATTACAGTTGCTGCAAAGGAGACATTGCTACCAGTATTGATGTTCAGGAATTTTCCTGCTTGGGTAAAGCAGTCTTTCCCATCTCGTGTTGAAATTGTATAAATACATTAGGGCTTTGGCATTTTGGAATTGCTTTTCCTTCAGGTGAAGGACTTTTATATCAATATGAACATCTCTGTCTAAATATATAATAAACAGGCTCTGCTACTGTGGAGACACGTTTGCAACCTTAATCTCAGTGGGGTAGTTCCTAGCACTAACCTTCATAATGCCCCTTGCAAAAATCACTGGAGTACCTGCCTTTTTAATGAGAAAATATCCTATATTAGTCAGGAAGCTGCTACTTATTTTAATAGACAAGATTTACTATTTTTAATGCAAATTTCATTTACTAAGTTTTGCTTTTTTGCTCTTCTTGTTGCAGAAGTCTACATTTTTTTCTGAAGTTTTCTAAGCTTCTGTCTTGCATCTCATTCCAAAAACATCTTGAAATTTGCAGGAAATTCAGTATTTCATTAAATTGTTTAAGATGGGTTGCAGATCTGATCCTTTTCAGGTGACAGTCTGTCATTTCAAAAAGATTAAAAAAAAAAAAAAAGCCAAACAAAAAACAAACAGAAAGCAAGCTAGTTTTTAGTAGAACAGGGAAATCCTATCCGGTAAGATGAGACCTGTTGAGTACGTAATCACTTCTGCTTCATCTCATGTGCTAGTTGATCATGTTGTGTTCTTCTGGTCCAAAGAGTGGAAGACAAATTGGACTCCTGTAAAGTACCATTGAGAGGAAGGCAGTCACCTGAAGGACTTTTAAGGTGGCTTAGGCTTCTTAAACTTTTCTAGCAGATCTTCATCTAATTTTTGTATGCCTGTGAAAATACGGGTAGTCTTTTGTATGCTCTGAACCATGTGCTAGGGTCCTAATGCTTTGCCTATGGCAGCAAAATCTTTAGAGACTGCTGACTGGAGTGCATATGAAGTCTGCGCTGGTGTTGCACCAGAGATGGAGGCCTAAGTCCTATCTAAGTCCTCGTGCCTGATACATCCTGTTGGCTACCTGCCTCCACACTTGATGGATTTTTTGTTGTCAGACAGTTTTGGAGGTTTACAGCTAGTCAATAAGAAACGTTACAGAAAGGGATTTAGGTGGAAGCTAAGTGATATCAATCTGGTCCAAACATTTTAAATTAAAAGGTAAGGCAGATCAAGGTGACTATCAAAAATGTATCTTGCTGCAGGAAATTGGACTTGGGCTGTTTAATAGATTCCTTCCGAGTTTTCTGAAAAAGTGAACTCACAAGATGAAATAGTTGCCAAGGATATTTTTAATTATTTGTTCTCATGAGGCTATGTTTTCCTCTAAGGAGGGTTCCACAGAAATTAATATATTGCCTGGTTTTTCTCATTCGCCTCTTCCTGAGAACAAGGAGGGCTTGCTTGGCATGGCCTAATTTCAAAGGAAGAGGTCTTGTGGGCATCGACTCGGTTGCTGCAAATGCCCATCTATATGGAGTGCAAGTAAAATCATTTGCTGGGTACTGTTAGGGAAGGTTGTACTTGGGCAAAATAAGGTAATTGGTTACTAAACATATAGGTGAAGTTCTCTGGGTTTCAGTAGAGGCTGAGAAGGAGATAACTGTGAAAAGATAACTCTATATAAATTTAAAAATTTTCTCTGTCTTTCTGAGAATGGTTTCGTTCCTTCCTTGCATGATGTGTTAGACACTCCACCACCATTTTGTGTTTAAAAAGTAAAGGAAGTGAGGAGAAGTTCAGTGGAATTCTCTGCAGGTCAGCCTGTAGTCGTTTGAACCTTTCCTGAAGGACATTGTTGAATTATTAAAAACATTATTCTAGAAAGCTCTGTATCAGATTTTCATGTAGAAGACTCCTGCTGTTTACTTTTTTTTCTTAGGCAGAATGTGTTTTATTTTTATTTTTTTTAACAAAATAAGGAAAAATACTTCATCCCCGAGAGTGTGTTCATTCAAAACAGGATAAAATCTGCATAGGTAGGGTTTTCTTGGCAGAGCAGTGAGGTGTTTCCTTCTAAATCCATCTGAAAAGAAGCGCATAGTTTTAATCAATTTCATCCTTTAAAAAGCACCCTTTTATTTAATTTTTTGCTGTGTATAGGTGTTCTGCAAAGCTTCTAGAAAGCTACTTGTTATAAGTCTTGGAAGAACCTTGTAAAATTGATAATCAATGTGTACCACAGGAATGTTAAAGCATCTTGAATGGGGTGGGAAAAGAAAATGACCCAAGATCTTTGGTTGGCATGTGGTATCTTAGTGCCCAGTCACAAGAAGCAAGGAAGAAAAGTTTCATTAGAGGGAGGAAAATAAGCCTCAGTTATTCCAGTGTAGCCTCAGACTCTCTTTTACACGGCTCTGAAAACTGTCTTTGACAGGAATAGCGTTAAATCTAATTTAACTAGTTGCTTGAAAGGTTAGGAGAAATTTAGGAGGTTCCAATTTTTGCATGTAATATAAAAGACCTGTACTATCCTTTGTTAAACAAGGTCTTGCTTATGAAGAGTAATCTGTTAGGTATACTCCTCCTTCACATCTAACACATCAGGTGGTTAAAGATGGACTGGCAATAGCCTACAGGATCTGCCACGGGGTTGCTTATGGTGTTTCCCCAGGTCTGTGGGGCTTTCCTCCAGCAGAGAAATGGGACTTGGGAGGAGAAGTCTCTCCTGGCCAGTGGAAGCCTGCACTGTTCGGGCAAGCAGCGAGAGGGAAGGAAGGGGTTTAGGCTTATGTTATTGTAAGCCAATTTGTTAGTCTTCTATGATCTTTTAATTCTTACAGAGTGAAGTGAAGGAAGTGGGAAGATAGATCTTAGGAAGCCACCTGTGTGTGTGAATGTTAGCAATGTCACATGTGAGAAAAGGAAGTGGAACCACTGGTTTACTGTAATATAAAACTAAAATCCACATATCAACTTGTAAAATTATTCTACCAAGACTCATTAAACTAATCTCTAATTCTGTTAAGATTTTTTTAAGAACTAGTAGGTTTTCCAGAGTATGTGTTGAAACATGAGAGGAAACTACTACAGTGCATGTCATACTTCTTAATGACCCACTTGGAAACTATGTTCCTTTTCTGCATGTGGGAGTTAAATGCAAAGTGATGTAGTTACAGGTAGTGATGGATGTCAAATGAAATCCACTGAGGCTTATGGGAATTTGTGTGTGCAGGAGTTTGTCTCCTGATAAGCATCTGCAATTCAATAGAATGTAAATGGGACAAGTAAAAAGCTGTCGTTACAGTGTTTACCTTGCTCCTGACTTCCACCCAACACCGCACTCACTTTCTTATAGATTACGCATGTGTGTGTATATATATGTACGTGTGTAAGTTGTAGTATTCCTTTTCTTGTAGAATAATTATATTATTAAGACTGCTGTAATTAGAGTGAATTATAGGTTGCCTTACAAAGAGCAATGAGTGCCTGGCTACCTACTTTTTTTTTTCCCCCTTCTTTTTTTGCTCTCTGAAGATAACGCTTCCTGCTGTAAATGCTTCATGCAGAGGACTTGCTCTCTGGATTTGAAATCATGCACAAAGTGGAAAGTGAATTTTATTATGTTCGATGCTTAATTTTTAAAATTAAATACAGGTTAGGATTTAGGCACAGAACTTCGAAATTGAGTTCCATGTTAAAGAAATTCCTAAACGTTTGGAAATGTTTAACCCACCTAAACACATCGATCTCTCTCAAATATACACATGCAGTCTGTAAAATCGCATCATCTCACTCATGTGAGGGGAAAATATACATACAGATTTCTAATATCAGTACATGCTACAAGAAAATGTGACTAACAGAATTCATCCTTGGCATATTATCCCTCTGCAGAAACAATATGCAAACTGTATTTTAATTATTCTACTGAAACATAATGCTTGATACTTCTAAGATATTTCAGGTGGGACCCATGGCAGCACGCTTTGTGCACTCGTTTTTACGAGGGGCCTTGAATGTGTGGGAGTTATTTGTTGCTCTGTCATCAAGACTTGTTTGGCTTGCTGAAGATGTAGGCGTAGCCCCAGGAGTCAGTGGAATCGAGCGATCGTTCCTCCAATGTTATAAAAGGATGATAATTGGGAGAGAAACACAGAGGTCCAGTGTTTTTAATTCTCTTTAAATATAAAAGCTCTCAATTACATATCTGAGGTGCTGCATTTTACCCCTCCAGTTCCTAAGCAACAGCTATTTTCAGATTGAGTGCGTCTGGTGTTGTCTACCTACTTCATGCTTTTGCGAGGTAATTCGTCAGTGAAAGCTAGGCTTTTCACAATCTCGCCCTATTCCCTTTGTTGTGGCACCGCAAGGAGACGGATGCTTTGAGAAACGGGAGAAGCTTGGGTGTAACTGGTCTCAACCTTGCAGCTTGCAAAAACTCGTGTGCATCGGGGAGCTCTGCCGTCTACAGCAATGAAGCACAGGAG